AAATATGCAGTCTTGCATTATCCTGATGGAAGATTATGTGTTGTCTGTTGACTAATTCTGGACACTTTTTGTCGAGTGCTGCTTTCAGTTGGTCTAACTGGGAGCAGTACTTGTTGGAATTAATCGTTTGGTTTTCCGGAAGGAGCTCATAATAGAGGACTCCCTTCCAATCCCACCATATACCCAACATCACCTTCTTTGGATGAAGACCGGCCTTTGGTGTGGTTGGTGGTGGTTCATTTCATCTGCCCCACGATCTGTTCCACATTATTGTACAGCATCCACTTTTCATCGCCCATCACAATTTGTTTTAAAAACGGAACGTTTCCCTTACATTTCAGTAGAGAATCACATGCGGAAATACGGTCAAGAAGGTTATTTTCACTTAACTTACATGAAAGCCAAACATCAAAGCGATTAACATAACCAAGCTGGTGCAAATGGTTTTCAACTCTTGATTAGGATATTTTGAGTATGTCGGCTATCACCTGCGTGGTCTAATGTTGATTGTTCTCAATGAATGTCTTGATTTGATCACTATCAACTTCAACTGGTCTACCCGACCGTGGAGCATCGTCCAGTGAGAAATCTCCAGCACTGAACTTCACAAACCACTTTTGACACGTTCCATCAGTCACAGTACATTCTCCATAAACTGCACTAACCTTTTTTTGCGTTTCAGCTGCGCTTTTACCTTTCTTGAAATAATAAAGCATAATATGCCGAAAATGTAGCTTTTTTTCTTCCACCTTCGGTATTAAAATGGCTACACAAAAATTCACCAATTTTGATAAGTCTTTTTTTAAATGCACACTGATATATGACAGCTGTCACATACAATCTAACATTGTTTCGAATGAAGTTAAAGACAAAATGCTACTAGACCCATCTTATGGAAAAAACCGAACGAACCTTTTGGCCAGCCCAATACTTTATATTTTTGCACGTAGACCTAACATTGCAATTAAAAAAAAAAAAAGTAAACCAGATTGAGACCCTTAGGAGGATTTTTTGCGGGGGAGGCAGATATATTTCAAAAAACAACATGAATTTTCTACAATTAAATACAGAAAATATACTGGTTTTCCCAAATGAATAATTTGATATGTTAACACTTCACCATAAAGAATGTATACCACCTGGATGGGATCCTAGCGTAGGAAAAGGACATTAGCTAAAAACTAAAGAAATCTAAATAAAGTGTGAACTAGTTAAAAAAAAAATAGAATTAGTAGCCTCAAACTATAAGGCAGTTACTTTGTGAGTTTGCTTACTTTTAATGGGTACTTAGTATTCCATTCTTTGGAGGTACCATAGTTTATTTGACTCACTCGCAACTGATGGGCACTTGGCAATATTTTGCTCTTACAAATGATGCTACAAGTCATTTCTCACACATGAGAATATATATCTAGGAAAGAATGCTAGAAATGGAATTGCTGAGCATTAGTGTGTTTTGTTAGATATTTCTAAATTAATTCTACAGAGGTTGTGCCAATTTATACTCCCACTTTGCTAATGCAAAATACTTGAGTACTTGTTTAGTAGGTCCTAAGATAACACAGGCCAGGGTTGGCCCCTCTAGGAGATTGTATTACAGGATGAGAAAAAGCTATCTATGTGAAGAGACAAGGAAGGTGTGGGAATAAGAATGTTCCAGGGTAAGGGAGTTGCATGAGCAAAGACCAGGAGATGAGCAAGAGCTTAGCATAGTTGATGTTCGAAAAGAAGGTCAGCATGTCTAGAGCTGCCCTGCTCACTGGCCGCATGTGGCTATTAAGCACTTAAAGTGTGGTTTGTCTGAATTGACATATGCTGTAAATGTAAAGTACACGCTGGATTTCAAAGACTTAGTATGGAAAAAAGAATGCAGAATACCTTATTAATAATTTTTTATATTGGTTTCACGTTGAAGTAATAGTTTTGATGTGTTGTAGTAAAATATATTATTAAAATTCATTTCATCTGTTCCTTTTTACTTTTTTATTGTGGCTGCTAGAAAATGTTAAATTACATATGTGGCTTGCATTATATTTCTATTGGACAGTGCTAGTCTAGAGCAGGGGTTGATAAACTATGGGCTGCAGGCCAGATTTGGTCTACAGCCTGTTTGTTTGTTTGTTTTCCTACAGCCTGTTTTGATGTGGCTGGAGCACTAAAAAATAGATTTTACATTTTTTGAAAGAGTTAAAAAAAAAGAAATAGTCTAAGAGGAATATGTGACAGAGACAGTGTGTAGCCCACAAAGTCTAAAATATTTACTATCTAGCCCTTTGCTAGTCTAAAACATACAGAGAAAAGAGGGCAGTAGAACAAGATGCCAGGGGAAGGCAGCGTCCAGATCATAAAGGGCCTTTTGTATCATGATACGATGTTTAGATTTTATTAAAAGAGCAATGGAAAGGTAAAGAAGGGTTTTAAGCAGGAGAGTGACATGATCAGATTTATATTCTTAAATGATAATTGTCTACGTGTGTGCATGTGTCACATTCTCACTTTACCAAAAACTCACTAGAATAGGGTATTGAAGGAAGTTGGATGGTAGTTTTACACCAAACACTGAACTCTGCATTTCCACCATAATCGCTTTGTCATCTTAGCACTTAATATGTGCCTGGCATTTTCTGAGCTGTGTGCCTTATCTTATTGACTGTATTTTGTTCCTTCTTTAAGTGGTTACAGCTCTCTTGGATAATAGCAAGGGTAGGGAGAACAGTGTGAGCAGGAAGCCACCTACATGACTCCATTCCCAAGATCAACTAAGGTAGAGTGTGAGCTCAACCCAGTTTCAGCCCTTGGCTGCCACTGGAAGTGATGTGGAACTGGCGAGGCCATGGGAATGTGCAGACACATGATTTATTAACTCCATTGGCTTGAACATCACAGGGCGATGCAGCAAGTCTGCAGGTCTTTGAAAGTCCACATAACAGCAAACCTGGGGTCTCATACTACTCAACCCTCTCCCCGCTTATTTCCCTCTTTAATACTATCCAGATCTCTTACTAGTACTGGGCTAGTCTGTCTCACCTCTGGAGTCCCACAATATAATCTGCTGCTGTTGCTGAAATGAGACTTATCTCTCTACTTCCTTAAGTTACTATGTCATCATGCCGTAGAGAGAAGTTTGGTATTCTACACAACTCTAATGGCAAGGTAGGCTAACTGCTGTAATAATAAGCAAGTCAAAAAATCATTAGTGGCTAGAAACAACGGTTTGTGTATTACTCACAACACAGCCCACTCTAGGTTGGGCGGGTGCTGGGAGGTGAGCTGTAGGAGGGACCTCTGTTCCAGGCAGTCATTCAAGGACCCAGGCCTGCCCTGTGGTGGCTCCTCCCTCCTCTAGATCCACCAAGGCTGTCCAGCCAGCAGATGGAGAAAGAGAGTCAAGAAGGCACATCTGCTCTCAACCACGTTGTTCCAGAAGTCATAACTGTCATGTTGCTCACATTTTACTGGCAAGCCCTAGTCACATGACCCCACCTGGAAGAAAGCAGGCTAGGAGATGTGGTCTTTCTGTGTGCCCAAGAAGGGGAGAATGTAAGAGAGCACTAGACTGCACCACAACAACCTTGTATGGTACCTGGGCAGTCCTTCTTCAAGATAGCTCACAAGCTAGGCCATTTCCTTCCCAATATGTGCAAACTTTATTATGCTTCTGAGGTAAGAGGTTTACCTTTTATTCTATAGACACCGTTTAGTTTGGCATTGACCTTACTGGAGTTATACTGACTTTGTCCTTTTAGTTCTGTTTTTGGGTGCAAGTCTGTTTTCCCTCAGATTATTAGACCTACTTACTCCTAAAATATTACTAAGCTTGTACATATAGGGAGATTTTATATTTATATATATATATATATATATATACATTTTTTTTTTTGGCTGTGCCGTGTGGCATGTGGGATCTTAATTCCCCAACCAGGGATTGAACCCGCACCCCCTGCAGTGGAAGCGCAGAGTCTTAACCACTGGACTGCCAGGGAAGTCCAGCTATGGATATATTTTAATGGCATTTTTATTCTGTATGATTTTGCTCTGTAACACATTTAATCTTCACAGTAACCCTGTGAGATAGGTATTATTATTACCTCCATTTTAGAGGTAAGGAATCCAAGCTGTGGAGCGGTGAAGTGACCTTTCACCGACTGGCTGAGCTGGTATTCACTCCAGCATGTGCCTCACCTCAGGCTTGTACTCTGAGAGATGATGTCACACTACATTCCTTCCTGGACCAGGCTTGCAGCAACTTTCTGTTTCATCTTCATCTCTGCTACCCTCTCCCTACCTCACTGAAACGCTGCTTATAGATCTTCCTTCAGATATTTCCTCCCCTCCCAAAGTCTGGGGCTCTAGAGTTCTCTTGAATATGGGGGAGAGATCCTTTCTCTCACTGGTTCCCATGGCAATTCTGTAAATTATAAAACGGAAGAACAATCAGGATTAAATTAACATGTAATTTTAAGTATAGTTGCATGAGGATAGAGAGATAGGAATGGAAGATCTTGATAAAGACATTTCAGGGAATCCTAAATAGTCCTTTTCTTGTTTGGGATGTACAAAAAAGTTTTCAGAAACTACTATGCACCGTTAGTCCACAAGTACTTACAATGTACTTACCTTGGAACTTACTTTAAATGCGTCTTTCCTTTGTGCCTTTCTTTTTTGCGTCTGTTTTAAGAACCTGTGGCTATGTAGCTGCTGAATTGAAGTAATGATTTTGCTAGCCTATCTGGTGACGTTCTGGGACACTGTAAACCTTAACTAAGCATCTGTAGGTGTGAAGACTTGGTTGGATGTACCAAGGTTTCATTACTCATAGAAATGATCAAAGAATCCCAGAGATCATTAACAGATACAACCAAAGAAGAGTATACTGGAGAAAATACTTAAGTCTCTAGTAGCTACAGAGCCTAGAATTAGAATTTCTGGTTTGACATGTGCTGAGTTCCATCCCTGGATGTTTTAAAGCCCTGTACCATTCTTTACTTTTCTCTCTTTAGGTTTGCCTTGCACTGATTTTGGCCTGAGGTCCAGGATGGTTTGTTCTTGGGACCAGACCTGACCAGAAGTCGACCTCATGAGCACTTCAAGCTCTCCAGCTGCCATGCTCCTCCGGAGGCTGAGGCGGCTCTCCTGGGGCAGCACTGTTGTCCAGCTCTTCATCTTAACGGTGGTGACCTTTGGTCTGCTGGCCCCCCTGGCCTGTCACCGGCTTCTGCATTCTTACTTCTACCTGCGCCACTGGCATCTGAACCAAATGAGCCAAGAGTTCCTGCAGCAAAGCTTGAAAGAGGGTGAAGCTGCCCTCCACTACTTTGAGGAGCTGCCCTCTGCCAATGGCTCGGTGCCCATTGTCTGGCAGGCCACTCCCCGCCCCTGGCTGGTCATCACCATCATCACTGTGGACAGGCAACCTGGCTTCCACTACGTCCTGCAGGTGGTGTCCCAGTTCCACCGGCTCCTTCAACAATGCGGCCCCCAGTGTGAGGGGCACCAACTCTTCCTGTGCAACGTGGAGCGGAGTGTGAGCCATTTCGATGCCAAGCTGCTGTCCAAGTACGTCCCTGTGGCCAACCGCTATGAGGGCACTGAAGATGACTACGGCGACGACCCTTCGACCAACTCGTTTGAGAAAGAGAAGCAGGACTACGTCTATTGCCTGGAATCCTCCCTGCAGACCTACAACCCAGACTACGTCCTGATGGTGGAAGACGACGCCGTTCCAGAAGAGCAGATCTTCCCAGTCTTGGAGCACCTTCTGCGGGCTCGTTTCTCCGAGCCGCACCTCAGAGATGCCCTTTATCTAAAGCTCTATCACCCCGAGAGGCTCCAGCACTACATCAACCCAGAGCCCATGAGGATCCTGGAGTGGGTCGGTGTCGGCATGTTGCTGGGGCCCTTACTAACCTGGATATACATGCGGTTTGCCAGCCGGCCGGGGTTTAGCTGGCCCGTCATGCTCTTCTTCTCCCTGTATAGCATGGGGCTGGTGGAGCTGGTGGGCCGGCACTATTTCCTGGAGCTGCGGCGGCTGAGTCCTTCCCTGTACAATGTGGTCCCTGCTTCACAGTGTTGCACCCCGGCCATGCTCTTCCCTGCCCCGGCGGCCCGGCGGACCCTCACCTACCTGTCCCAGGTGTACTGCCACAAGGGCTTCGGCAAGGACATGGCACTGTACTCACTGTTGAGGGCCAAGGGGGAGCGGGCGTATGTGGTGGAGCCCAATCTCGTGAAACACATCGGGCTCTTCTCCAGCCTTCGGTACAACTTGCACCCAAGTCTGCTCTAGCCTGCCAAGAAATGCCGTTCTGAACTTGGCCACTTCTTGGAGATTCAACTGTTGAGCTCTTTACTTGGACGTGGTTGCTTGCCGATATTTCATTGTTTTAGGGTTGCTAGGGATATAGACACTGGGATGGCTGAGGAACATACAAGTCCAGAACCTTGGCTTTGGTAACTCTCTGGCAGGAGCAAGCTGTTCACCGTGGGTCCAGACCTCTCGCCCTCCACACAGCCACACTGCCTCATGCAGTCTGACCCACCCAAAGAAGGGCATTTAAACACCACTTATATTCTCCAGTTGTTTTTCACTCTGCTTCACGACAGAGTTTGTGACTGCCAAAAATATTGTACACAGTGATATGACCAGTTTAGGATTTTAAGCGTAGAATTTGGTGAAAGGTGAGATTCTTTTGCAATGATTTCTTTCTCATTGGGAATAAGAATGGATGTATGTTTAGAATATATGTCCCAAGAGGCAGGACCACGTTGATAGATTCTATTTGTTTCCTTGACCTGGAGTAATAAAAGCCGCGCAGGGCCCGGCATCTTGGAGGCAGGTGACCCGGCTTTTGTTACCTGGCGTTTTCTTTTCCACACATCTGTAGTGCACTGATAATCAATGTTGTCTGTGAGAACTTTAAGGCACAGCAAGATCTGAAATCACCTTCTGGATCCTCAAAGTCAGATTGCTTATGTTTAGTAGTGATTTAATATTGAAGATTTCTATCATAATCTGATTCTTTGAAAGTTGGACATTGCAGAATGATATAGAATGGGTGAGCTTTTTACTAATAGCATATCCTTTTCCCTAACTTCGCTGGCTAATCATTCACCTTCACTTCTTTTTCTTCTATGTAGCATGATGTTATAGAAGAAAAAGCATGGACTGAAGTCAGAAGACCTGAATTTTTATTTCAGATCTCTGTTAGATCCCAGTGGTGTGAACTTGGGCAAGTCATAAGCACTCTGCATCTCAGGTTTGTCACCTGTAAAATGGGGACAGTGATATCTACTTTTTTACGTTGCCTTGAGGATTAAATGACAAAATGTATGTAGAACACTAGCAAGTGCTTATCTCACAGAGGGCACTTGGTGAATATTAGTTCTTCTCTCTCCTATAATAAGCATATGAAACTCAAGTGTATTTTGGATAAAGGTATTAATGATGTTATTTAAAGTATGATATGGGGCATAGGGCTGACACCTATGGAGCAGTTGTTCCAGACCAAACACTGCTAGGATAAAGGCTGACTTTTCCTTGTGACTTCGGAAGGATATGCAGCTCAAGATAAGAATTGTTCATTCAACTGGCAGTGATCTGAGACTCCTCTTGAGCTTATTCCAAGACTAGCATCTGAAAACTACTCTTCTCAAAAGTTACAAGTAAATTTCATTTGACAATACTTATCACACCAGTGGCCAACTGTCCCTTTGTGGGGATGGATGATTATATTAGAGTGCAAGCAGCTGTCCAGTTTGTTTCAGTGCCACATCTTCCCTTTGCTTTTAAGTTTCCACAGTGAGCTAACATCTTGGGATCTGCTCGAGAACACTGAGAGAGTAACAGGGGTTCATCACCACACTTTATAGATGAACAAACAGGCCCCGAAATATTAAAGGATTTCTTCAGGTTCACACAGCTGAACAGCAACAGAGAGGACTGGAATGTAGTAGATTTTCTGACTTCCAGCCCCTGTACTTTTTTCTTAACTGCATTCATTTTATAAATATCTATGTAGTCAAATTCTCTTTTGTGAAATCTGATTGTAACCTGGACTAAATAATGTCTCTGTAAGCTAAGGTGGTAAAACCTCACTGTGGTGTTGGTCTTGGGGAACAAACAGGTATCAATATGTGTTGTGTTATTATAGTGAGCTGTTATGTATCCCCCAGGAATGTACAAAGTGACTAGAGCTACTAGATTACTTATTGAGATTCTCAGATTCCACCCCTTCATCTCTCCTCGCCCAGTAACTGGTTCAGCCCCATGTTTGAGAAGAGAACCACCCTCAACCTAGAGTTCATTTGAGTTTGTTGCATTAGTGATTGGATCTCCTCATGAAAATTTGTGTCCAATGACAAAACATGTAAGCTGGCCAAGCCCTAGATCAGAATCATTGCTGGTTTCCATTTCTGCTCTTTCTAATTCAGTTGTCTACCACACGCAGACATTCCTTCCCCTGACTCCTTCATTCTCGATGGCTAAAGTCATCTTTGCCTTGTCTTATTTCTCTACCTACACACTAAGACATCTTCCCCCATTGATCTTAACTAGAGTCTGCCATCCTTGGACATTTTCTGCAGAAGCAAACATGCTACCCACTTTTATCCCTACCCACTTTCTAGATCACCCTTCCTTTTGTCTCTCATTCCTAGAGTCCAAATTGTGTGTGTTGTCCTGGATTAGGACAGCTGACAGCTGTCTCTCATTTAATTAAAGCTGAAGTCTCTCATTTAATCCTAAGCAGAGGGCTAGGGGAGAACTGAAGTCCCCTTCCAATATCAAGGGACATAGTTTACCAGGAGGGTAAAGGCCTCTAACAGTCCTGCATACTTTTCAGAAGTTAAATTATTGTCAGGCCTAAGAAGCCCTATTGTGACTGACTGTATTTGCATAGACTTATCAGTTCAAATAAATGCACCCGTTTCACCAAGTCATCCTGAGAAAACTGGTCGTTCTCTTGTTTCTACAGATGAGTTTTTCTGATGTGGTGAATAGTATCGAACACACACACACACTCACGCTATTGTGGGGTGTGAGCCATTCAAAAGTATGGGCTGTTTGCTTAAAAATTCGTAAGTGAATCTTGTATTTCTTAAATGGAAGCATTTGAATTGTGCTTTCTTTTTTTTACAAAAAAAGTGGTGAGAATACTATAGTGCAACTGGAGAATACAAGTAGGATGAATATAATGATAGGATTAATTTATTTTACCTTGGATACAGTCCTCATTTGGGGGAATTTATTTAATTGGTAACTTAATTTAGGTAAAGAGGCATTCTCTTTGGATTTGATTACTGTGGGATTTTTATATATACTATGATGCATTGTGAATTACTGTAACACAATATAAAATTGGGTAATTTTAAGTCACATGATCCATTTGGATATTTTTATCCCAGCTACAATGAGTTTGCTGAGAAATGCTCATTAACTGGCACTGTTTTTTTTAGGTTGGATTTTGTTTGGAAAAAAAACCCTGGAACTACATCAAAGATGATTGGAAATGTAATTCTAAAGTACTTAATATAACTGCAGTGGAGATGTGCTGTGGCTTCCAGGTCATTACAGTGCTTGGATTACAACATTGTTGTGAGTCATCACTCTGCAATGAATGGGGATTTGGGGGTTAAAATTTAACAAATTTTCTTGATCTTTTCCCTAAAAACCTATGCAGAAACATGGATGAGTGATTTGAAAAAAAAAAGCATCTATGTTAATAATTTGGGGGTAAAAACAGATGAAAATATAAAAGCAAATGATGAATTTATCAAAAAGAAACAAGGACCAGATGGCATAAGTATGTAGGAATGGGTAGCTCAGAGAGATGGGGGAAGTAGACAAAGATGTAGAGTGAAGCAGAGAGTCTCACATTTGTCACCTTTTGTGTGTCCCAAACTCCCGTATGTAATAAATCCTTTATGTCTGCCCCACTGTCATGAAATCTTTATAGGACCAGCCTATGGAGAATACAAAGGAATGAAACAATGGATAGTCAGTGTTCTGGATAAATAATTCATCCCTTTGCTAGGACCTGGCTTCCTACTGCATTTAGAATAAAATACAAACTTCTACATTACCTCCCAGGCCAGATGTGACCTGCCCCTGCAAAACTTCATTTCTTAACCACTTCCATCCTTTTTCTCCAAGCTCTAGCCACACCTGCTGTCTTTAACTTCCTCGGACTTGTTACAGCAGTTCTTACTACAAAAGGAATTTTCACTGCTATTCTCTCTGTCTGGAATGCTTTTCTCTTAGCTGAATCTTTCCTGTAATATAGGTATCAATTAAATTTTAATTCCTCTTCCCCCAACAGACTTTCCGTCCCATCTAAAGCAGTCTTTCCCCTTCCCAACCACCAGGTCATCTATCACGTTATGCAGTTTGATTCCCTTCAAAGCTCTTATTACCTGAAATGTATTATTTTTTGTTTTTTTCCTCTATTCTACACCCCCCCAGAATATAAGTTCCAGAATATCAGGGGCCTTCTAGGCTTCATTCACTGCTCTATCCCTAGAACCTAGAACAATACCTGAGACATAGTAGGAAATGAATGAGAGAGAGAGAGATGGTGGTAGTAGAGGGAGAAAGAAAGGAAGAAAGGAAGGGAGAAAAAGAGCAAAGGGATCCACAGTGGAACTGCCTCCAGAAAAAAATACTGGAAGAAAAGAAATGGGACTAGGGAAGAAAATTAGAAAGAGAGGAACAAAGAGGGATCCAGGTAGTGAGGGCTGGTTATGATGTACAATTTTGACACCTGTAAAAAGAAGTTTTTTATGTGTTTTCCAGGCAAAGGGAGTGACAAATGCAAAAAGGAACTTTTTACACCACCACACAGCTACTTTTTTCTCTGTTGTTATTAGGGTTTTGTTTTCAGGTGTGTGTGTCGGGGTTGTGTGTATTTTTGGTGGGGTGGGGGGGTCCCTGTGTGTTATTCTAAGGGGAGGGCTGGGTTTTCTCCTTCAGGCTTCAACTGCTGCATCTTCCTAGTATTACCAATGGGAATCATCTAGACGTGACCACCACCCTTGGTGGCTCCACAGCCTATCCTAGGACTTTTAGTCAAGAGGCTGGAAAGGGAATGAAGGAAAGATCACCACCTGGCACCAATGAACTCTTCTCAAGTTCTATCAGTAAGTGGAGAGATGGTTTAAGTCTTACCATGTAGCTCTGGGTGATAGCAGTAGGCTTTCCAAAACATTATGACTTAACACAAACCAAGAATAGAGAGGTAAACCTTCCCAGAGGATGGGAGGGACAGGAAACTCTTATAAGGATCATTTTTCTGGTGCATTACTTGTGTGTCCTTTAGGTTCTGTTAGCGTAGCTTTGTTTAAATGTGAGCAAGCTGAGTCCTCCGCAAAATTCATGCACTGGCCACATGTTAGACAAAGAATGCACCCCACCCCAATTTGTTTTTATCCAGAAAAAATGTAAACCCTGGCATTGCTGTGACTGAGGACCTAAAACTTTGGTTGCTTGTACAGGCCAGCAGCTCATACTTTTGAAACACAAGTCAAACCAGTGTTTGTAGATTTCTTTCTAGCAACATGTTTGGGCAGTTACTCTTGTCTTCAACCAAACCCCTTTCCAGCCCCAGTACATACAGGTCCAGAATCCATAACTAGCTGGGGTTCAGCAAAAGTAGCTTGGCTTCCATCTAGCTCCCCTCCAATGAGGTTTATGATAAAGGAGAGGTAGGATTACATCTTCTTCCTGCAATGTGCACAGGAAGCAATCATATTTTAAAAGTTATTAAAAAATAGTATGTATCTGTCACATTCCAAATTGTAGTTCATGTATTATTCTGCAAGGAACTACATCAAACAAATTAATCATAACTAAATCTAAATTTAGCTGTTTATCCCCAACTTAATAAATGCCTAAATCATATTGGCAACATTCAGATAACTCAAGCTTTTTTTCTTTTTTAATCCAGCTGAACTATTAGCTGAAATGCCCCAATCTGCAGAAACACATTCCTGTATTTGAAACAGAAAAGGCTTTGAAGAGGTTAGAATCACATTATTTTTCATTTACCCGTTAACACCAAAGGAAGAAAAGAACTGTTTCAGCCAAATTAACACCTTATTGTCACACTTAAGCATTAGTCCTCACACTAAAGCAGACACACATTAAAATTCTGAATTGCAACTCGGGAGGCCTTTAAGACAAAGAATTTTTGTTTTGTAAAAGGCACCAGGTGTCATGTCTCACATATTAATTTACATTTGGGGTAACAAGGGACAGTGCTGAATGCTGCAGACACAAGGCTGAGTGAATAAGACATGGTTTCTTCCTTTCAGGACCCTGGCATCCAAGGGGGCAGCTAGTACAGGAAGGTGAGTCCTGGGTTGGTGGGGTCACAGGATGCGGTCTGTAACTTACCCCAAAGTGCCAGGAGTCTAAGGTACTCCAACTTCTTCAACTCTTCTGCAACCACTTTTGCTGAGGAAAACATGGTCCACCAAAGAAGTCTCCAACTAACAAAAGAAATTTTTTACATAAACATTTATTTACAGGAAAAAATGAGAGGTGTGGGTGAAGGGGAATGAACTTGTCCCAGCTAGAGGGAGATAAGGAGGGTGAGTTAACTCCTGGAGAAGGTGCTGTCGGGAGAAGATATGTATCTTTTGCTGTAAGAGGAAGATCCAGAAAATTATCATTGAAGGGTTATTTCTTTTCCTTGCATTTCCGGAAAAACAAACCTCTTCATATCCTATTTTCTAATCCAAATTCATGTGACATCTTTTTCTGAAAGTGAATAAAATTGACTTCCAAAGAACTTTGCTTGCCCAGGGGTGACACACCTTGTTGCAGCACCTTGCCGTACCTCAAAAAAGAATCAAGAAAACCTCACTCCAAATGTCTTACTGTCCATCTCATCTTGCTGACAAAAGCGTGCTGATCCTCAAATGGAGAGAGGGCTGTGAGGGTCACAGTTGTCCTCACTCCTTTAAGGTGAAAACTGATGCTTTCCTGCCAGGTCATTGCCCTTGCCCAGGCTTGTGGCCTTCGGGTGTCTTGTGTAAAGTCTGTTCTTTCCAAGGCTTGTAGTCTCCACAGCTGACTGCAAGCTAGATCCAGTCTCCTGGAGCTTTCTGATGACTTCCTCAGGCACCACAAGTTGTGAGTGAGCGCCCTTCTTTGAACTATGAAGAATGTTTAACTGAGGGCCACAAATTTCTTCTGCTTGCCTTCATCAGTTTCCATATGGATCTGCAAGCCTGAAGACACTCATTCCTTTTAAAAATTATTATTTTCTATCAATTCACATTGAAACGGTATTGGCCAAAGTTGTCAGTCTGGCTCTAAGGCTAGCTGGTCAAGTTGCTGCTCCACAAACAGTGGAATATTTCTTAATTCACAGCCATTGTTCATAACTCTTCAACTACTCTAATCCTTACCTTCAAGGATTCCCACGTATGAATGAACTAAGCAGAATAACACAAAACAATAAGAGAAAGACCTGTGTTTTCAGCAAATGTAATTCTTAACTATTTAGGAAGCATTCACTAATCATTTCTAACTATGTGCCAGTAAGTTAGGTTTACCTATGAAAATTCTGATTTCACATGCCAAAAAGCAGACATCTCAAACGAAAAGAAAACTATGCTGTTATCAATCTACTTCTCTAAAAGAGATGTTCAGAGTGCTTTTTTACATACATCAGGAGAGTGTGTTGTGAATTTTGCAGGTTGGTTTCAGCACGGGATGCTTGTAGCATTAGGATGCATTCAGCTGCAAATAACAGAATCCAGTCTCCCAGGGCCTTAGGCAATAATGATGTTTAATTTTCTCACCTAACAAGAAGTCTGGAGAAGGCAGTCTCGGCAGTGCAACGATGTCATCAAGGACCCAGACTCTGTCTGTCCTATTCTGCCATCTTTTGCTGCTTCATGGCTATTGCAGCTTCAAATATCAGGTCCTCACAGGGCTGCATTCAAAACAAGAATGAAAAGGCTGAGTCAAGTCCTTTCTTCTTGTGAAGTTCTGTGTTTTTTTTTCCAGGAAAACAATTTCAGGAAGCCTCCCAACAGACCTCTCCTTTTGTCTCATCTGCCAGATATGGGCCACAGGCCCATTCCTAGACCAATCAGAGGCAAAGGGAAATGGGAAAAGCCCAACCACAACTTATTCCCTTGTGGCTTGCGTGAGAAGCTTAGCTTGTGAGAAGCTTAGCTTCTCAGGTTCCTAGAGGCCCAAAAGATTGCATTTTCTTTCTGATATGATAGGGCATCTGAGCAACTGAATGTGAAACATCATGGGAACAAAATTGTTGTTGCTAGTTTCAAGGAAGTACAGATATTCAAACTCAAATTAGATATGAGGATTGACCAGTTGACAACGGAAAACTATGCTTTCTACCTATTGTTCAACTGTCCTGAATTATTGATTTGGGGCACATGAAGAGCTTTTTTTTTTCTCCCAAATTCACAGTTTTGTAAAGTGGTCACATGAATTCTGATGCACAGTGTGAACCATGTTGTAAATTTCTGAAATTCTTTGGCAGGCAAACCTTAATATGTCTGCATTTGAAAGTATTTTCCTGTCTGTATTCAGTTTCAAGAGAAAACAATGAAATTGAAATCAAATTATGTTCACCCAGAGAACTCATAATCCCTGGAAGTTTAGAGGTGAGTCCAACATCTATCCTAGGGAGATCCCAAAATTTCCAGCGATAGGAAAAGTATCTGGCAGTTTACTCTTCAAGAAAGGAATAAGGATGAAGAGAAGAACTACAATCAGCTCTGCCAACTAGAATTGGAATTGCAAGCTCTCCCCAACAAAAGGTATCCCACAACTCAGTCAATTAATACCTAGGGACACCAGGTCTCACTAGACTGTGGACACAAATGAAGTCATGTTCATATCAAAGAATGCGGGCTTCCCTGGTGGCGCAGTGGTTGGGAGTCTGCCTGCCAGTGCAGGGGACGTGGGTTCGTGCCCCAGTCCGGGAGGATCCCACATGCCGCGGAGTGGTTGGGCCCGTGAGCCATGGCTGCTGAGCCTGCGCATCCGGAGCCTGTGCTCCGCAATGGGAGAGACCGCAACAGTGAGAGGCCCGCGTACCGCAAAAAAAAAAAGAATGCATAGTTTCCTTCATTGACACACTCTTCCCCACCCCCTAAAAGTCTCATTCAAATATTTCTGGGAATCTCCAGAGAGAAAGCTTACATCTATGTTCTCTCATAGCAGTTTGCTAGCCACAATCATCACACAGCATCTACCATCTTGTCTTTCCTCTCCGATGGCTCCACATTGCCTAGTTACTCTAAAGTAACTCTAAAGGGCGTCTCTCTTGCCTCTGCTCATGATAATCATTTTGGGAACATCAATGCCTCTGCTAAGGTTACTATTTTTTAATGCATAACAAACTCAGTTCTCCAGGCTAGGCTAAACTAGCACAGTAAGAACAAAAGCCAGTGTCTCAGTCAGTGGCTTGCCATGACAAATGTTTATTTCTCACTGCCACAAAATCTAATAAAGAGTTGGGCACGCTTTAGGGCTATTTCACTTATAAGTGATGCTATACATGAAATAGTTGCCCTAAAGGGTGCCCAGATCTTTATTAGATTCTGTGGCAGTGTCCTGTAGTTGCCCCGTTGGGAGCAGGAAACCTCCCTGGTCAACCAAGCAGGCTTACAGGGATACTCACCAGATAAGGGGCTTAACGGCTCCTCACCAGCTCTTCTCTGCTTTAGACTGCATGTAGCCAGCGCCATGGGCCCACTCAACTGCAAGAGGCCCGAAAAGTGCAGAGAGGTCTTCCATATATATAAAGGCGAAGAGAACAGATTTTGGTGAATGCTAATAATATCTACTTTACAGGTAAGTGCTGGGTTCTTGGAAAAAATGGAAACAATAACCCTTCTCCAACTCTGTGCTCTGT